GTACAGGAAAACTAATTTAGACACCATTTGTTAAGGCCTGAGAGAAGCACCTGTGCCTTGCAACAACTCCAGGAATCCCTTCCCATTGTGTCTGGGAACACAGATTTCACAACTATGCCAATCTCTTCATGAGGGCTTGTCTCAAGCGTTTCCATAGTGTAGCGGTTATCACGTTCGCCTCGCACACTCTCACCACTCCTATTCAATATGGTACTGGAAGTCCTGGCCAGAGTAATTAGCTAAGGATAAGAAATTAAAGGCATTCAGATTGGAAAGGAAGAAGCAAAACTCTCTCTGCATGCATGTGATATGATTTTATACATAGAAATCCTTAAAGATTCCACCAAAAATCTGTTAGAACTAATAAATTCAGTAGAGTTGTTGGATACAAAATACACACAAAAAATAAATTGCATTTCTATATACTAGCAATGAAACATCTGAAAAAAATGAAGCAATCTCATTTACAATAGCATCAAAAACAATGAAATACTTAGGGATAAATTTAACCAAGAATGTGAAAGATCTGTACACTGAAAATTATAGGACATTGATGAAAAAACTTGAAGAAGACACAAATAAGGGCGCCTGGGTGGCTCAGTTGGTTAAGCGTCTGCCTTTGGCTCAGGTCATGATCTCAGGGTCCTGGGATCTAGCCCTGTGACAGGCTCCCTGCTCAGCAAAGAATCTGCTTCTCCCTCTCCCTCTGCCATCCCCCCACCCCTGCTTGTGTTCTCTCTCTCTCAAATAAATACAATCTTTTAAAAAAAAATGAAGACACAAGTAAATGGAAAGATATTCCATGGATTGGAAGAATTAATGTTGTTAAAAGTCCATACTACCCAAAACTGTCCATAGAGTTAGTGCAATTCCTATCAAATGTCCAATGGTATTGTTCATAGAAACAGAAAACACAATTCTAAAATTTGTATGGTACCACAAAAGACTGAATAACCAAAGCCATCCTGAGCAAGAAAAACAAAGCTGGAGGCATCACATTTCATCCACTCTATTACAAAGCTATAGTAATCAAAATAGTATGTTAGTGGCATAAAACAGACATATAGACAATGGAATAGAATTGAGAGCCCAGAAATAAACCTGTTCATAGTCATGTAACACTTGACAAGGGAGCCAAGAATATTATAGTATCTTCAATACATGATGCTGGGAAAAAACATATTCACAAGCAAAAGAATGAAATTAGACTCCTATCTTACTCCACTCACAAAAATAAACTCAAAATGGATAAGACTGAAAACTGGAAAATTCTTAGGAAAAACTCCTTAACACTGAACAAAATAAAAAGGTGGAACTACACCAAACTAAAAGGCTACTGTATAGCAAAAGAAATGATCCGCAAAAAGAAAAGGCAACCTATGGAATTAGAAAAAATATCTGCAGGGCGCCTGGGTGGCTCAAATGGTTAAGCGTCTGCCTTCGGCTCAGGTCATGATCCCGGGGTGCTGGGATCGAGTCCCGCATCAGGCTCCCTGCTCCTTGGGAGCCTGCTTCTCCCTCTGCTTCTCTCTTTCTCTCTCTCTCCCTCTGTCTCTCATGAATAAATAAATAAAATCTTTAAAAAAAAAATCTGCAAACCCCCATCTGATAAGTTCATTTCATACATATATCCCATATATTATGCATATGAAACTCATCAATTCAATAGCAAAAAATCGGATTTAAAAATGAGCAGCAGAACTGAATTGACATTTTTTCAAAGAAGACAATACAATGACCGACAGGTACATGAAAAAATGTTCAACATCACTGGGAAATGCAAATCAAAACTACAATGAGATATTACCTCACATCTGTTATAAAGGCTATTACCATAAAGAGAAGAAAAAAGTGTTGGTGAGGCTATGGAGAAAAGGGAACCATGTCCACTGTTGGTGAGTGCACACTATGAGGTTCCTCAAAAATTAAAAATAGAACTACGATAAGATCCAGCAAACCTACATCTGAATATTTATGTGAAGGAAATAAAATCACTGTCTCAAACAGAAATCTGTACCCCTATGCTCACTGTAGCATCATTTACAATAGCTAAGACATGGAAAAAATCTCACTGCCTGTCAATGGATGAATGGGTGTATATACATATATATTCACACACACAGTGAATGGGTACATATATAGATAACACAATGAAATATTATTCAGTCATAAAGAAAGGAAATCCTGCCTTTGGTGACATCAATGGACCTTGAGAGCATTATGCTAAATGAGATATGCAGACAGAGAAAGATAAATGTTCTCCCCTATATGTGGAATCAAAAAAATCTGAATTCAGAACTAGAGAGTAGAACGGTGGTTGCCAGAGGCTGGGGTGGGGTGGGAGAAATAGGGAGATGTTGATCAGAGGGTACCTACTTTCAGCTACAAGATGAATAAGTTCTAGAGATCTAATGTATAGCATGGTAACTAAAATTAACATTACTGTACTGTATATTTGAAAATTGTTGTAAGAAGATCTTAAATGTCATCACCACACACACACACACACACAATGGTAAATATGTGAGAGACTAGACGTGTTAATTAACCTTATTGTGGTAATCATACTACAGTATATACATGTATTAAATCACCACATTGTATACCTTAAACTTACATGTTATATGTCAATAATATATAATATAATGTCAATAATATATAATACAAATGAAGTTTATATATTATAAAATCAGAAGCCAGAGACAGATCCTTATATAGGAGAATAAATTTATGACTCAGATAAGGAGGAGACTTTCTTTTAAAACACCCAGAAAACAAGTAACATAAATGCTAACTAACAAAAATTCAAAACTTTTTATTGACCAAACACACTACAAATAAGGTTAAAAGACAAGAGGCAGTCAGACTAAGAGAAAATATTTGCAGTGTGCATAACTATCAGTGTTATCAGCATTAAGAATATAAATACAATCTCACAATCAGTAAGAAAAATAAATTAAATGATTTAAGGATAAGAATAAACAGTTCACAAAATAGAGAAACTGAATGCTAATAAACATAGGTTGCCAAATCTCATTAATGATAAAAAAAAACAACATAAACATGAGATACTACTTTTCTCAAAATATATTGGCCAAAATTTTAAAGCTTGACAAGATCAAATATTTATTAAAATATGTGGTAAAGGGGCACCTGCGTGGCACAGTTGGTTGAGCATCAGACTCTTGGTTTCCATTCAGGTCATGACCTCAGGATTGTGAGATCGAGCCCCAACTCAGGCTCTGTGCCCAGTGTGGAGTCGGTTTAAGACTCTCTCTCCCTCTGCACTCTCTCTCTCTCAAATAAATAAATAAATCTTGGATTCTACTTCTGGGTATAAACATTAAAGTCTTACATTTGTACATAAAATGTCATGTACAAAGATGTTTATCATGACATTTAAAAATCAGAAATTAATCAACATACATAAACTCATAAGATAGAATAATATATAGCAGTTTAACATGAACTAACTCTAAATGTCTGCGTATATAATTGAGAAAAGATCTCCATAGTGTTGAGTGAAACAAGCCAGATGCAAAATATTTCCTGATACAAACTGATATTAAAAGATGACACATAATAATAAAAAATAAGTATTTCAGAGAATTGAATAACAATTTATGTATCAATATTTTTTTAAAAGATGATACTTATGCAAATTAAAGCAAAAAATATTGGAACCCACCATATTGCTTAAGGATCCACATATATATCAAAGTACTTTTAAAAATTACTGGATACACACTGGAATGCTTAATTGAGGGAAGAAAATGAACCTGGGATTGGTGATTCAAAGGGATTTTAGACATCTCTTTATTATTTTTTTTCTTAGAAGAAAAATTGGGAATATGACAAACATTACATTATAGGTAGTATGATTATTGATTTCTGAGATATTATTTTCTACAATATCTCAAAAAGAAAGCAAATAAAACAATAATACTGTGAAGCCCTAAGAATCCATAGCAACATTTGCTATGGTCACCAGTGCGTCCACCTGCAAAAGATCCAGCCTCTCTTGCAATGCACCCTGTTCCTTCAAGCTCTGAGAATCTCTAAGGGAGTGATGACACATTCTCATCCGCTAGTCTACCAGAACAAACATCTGGTTCCTCTTATTTTATTCACTGTCCATGAGGCTATTTGAAGGAACCCCACTTACTTCCATGAAGGATGCCCTTCTTTGTCAAGGTGCTGCTTCTGAAAAAAACTACTGATCTTCAAAATGACTTGGGGTGCTGGGTTCCATGAAAAATGAAATTTTCATACTTTGCATTGATACTTATAATCTGAGCCCCAAATTAGCACAGCTTGAGTTCAGTCTCATAATACTACTTCAGTGAAATTACTGCTTAGTCAACTGTGAACAAGAATACACACACACACACACACACATTCCTCCACACTCAAGGAACAGTTTTCACCATTAATGCAACCGAAATTCATACTTAGAAAGCAATAATTTTCTTCTTTGTGGGTTTTCTCTTTCTTACATGTAGTTTGATTACTCAGAGTCATAGTGTATCAGATACCTCTTTTTCAAATCTTACTTTGTCATCTGATCTCTTCTTTGCTTTTTCACACCTGGCTCTTTCTAGTGATTCCCTAGAACAAAAGAATAAGCTTCCCCAAAAGTGTATTAATAATTTTACCTCTTGCTAGATTAAAAAAAAAAACCTCCTTATAACTTTGAAATTATTTTTCCTAGCCTGATCAAGTTTTCAAAATCTTACAGCTAAAAATTTTCCAGGACTTAGGCACAAAATGTCATATGATCACCCCTCTCCCAGCAATCTCTTTTGCTCACCCTCATGCTCTTGTAGCAGAGATCATTGCATGACTTCATATACCCCATACCTGTTTCACCTTTATATAAGGCACAAAATCTTCCTAATGGGTGCTTGAAGAGAACAGAGGGAAAGGAGGAGCACTCTGATTCTGGTGAGAGTAGGGAGAATTTTTTCCAGTAAACATTTGTTAAGTTCCTGCTCTTGCAGAGGCCATGCTAAGTGTGGGGTTCGATGAAGCTCTCACTGAAGGGAGTGACAGAGTGGGCAAATCAAGTAAGGAATCTTGGTGAGGACTGCAGAGATGGAGTTTGTGGGTGCAAACTGGAAAAGTAAAATGACAAAAGAGGACCAAGAAAGTAGCTCAACTAAAATAGGTTGGAATATAATACATTTCCTTACTTCACACAATCAGGGATCTAGAGGAAAAGGTAAAGTGAGCCCCATCACTAGCTCTGGATCCTTCCTTCCAGAACATTCCCAAGGCAAAGAGATCCCTGCTTAATCATCCTTTTCACTATTGTTCAGTGTGTGATGCTCATCCAGGAATGGCATCAGTGAAAATGTGTTTGTTTCATCAATCACACTAATTTGTTTGTTTGTCTTTTTTATTAAAGCAAAACCTAAGAAATCTAAGAGTAAGTTCCATGTTTCTCTCAATTATATTGTTATCATTGGTTTTTTTATGGTATTAGTGGCCCTTTTGTGCTCTGTTGTAGTGTGAATATACCAAGACTTAAGATTTATATTTCTGACTCTGTAGTTTATTAATATTTTCAGCATTTCTCACCTTTTAACTTCTTGTTTCTCTATTCCTAGCTCCAGTAGTTTGTTCCATTTTCAACTATCAGGGTCCACTTGGAGGTTATAACTGAAACTAATTGGTACTTAATGTGGTACTATAATAATAAATAATATTTATTCAGTAATTACAATGTACCAGGTGCTGTACTCAGAACTTTATACATGCATATACATTATATCAGATATTATTCCTATTACAAAGAGAATAAAAGAGTGAGACTAGGTAACTTGCCCATGACCCCACAATTATGAGCAGCAGAGATTGGGATTCAAATCCAGGCTCTAAAGGTCCAGCAGTGCCTCCATCCCAATCAAATGGTGAGAAATATGGTCACCCAGCCCTAAGATATCTATGTTTATAGGGAAAAGAGAAAACTTTCTAAAATTAACATAATGAACAGTAATTAGCAAAACAAGAATCAGAGTAATGATCATGATAAACCAATAAATCATTCCAAAGAAGTGATGTGAAGAGAGGAATAATAAGAAGAAAACAAAGTGTAAGTGACATAAAAATCTTACCAGTCAATGTTTGAATCAGCAGAGAGAAAACAGAAGGAAGAAATAGCATCTCCCAATGATTCCATTCTTAACCTTTCTTTCCAAAAAGGAATCCAAATTAAGAGGGACATCTGCAGAACAATCTGAAGATATTCATTCTCAAATCATATTGAATTGATTCTAAATACAGCATTTGGTGGTCTCTCCAAGTCTTATTTCTGAAACCTCCAGCATAAAGTTTGAGAAGTAACTCTGCTGTTCATCCAGAAATCTTTCACTCACTTACTTATTTGATTTCTTTTTTGCAGCAAGACAAGAAGAGCCAAGTAAGTTCTATATCTATTCATCAGTTCTGGGGTTGGTTCCTACACTAGTTATATCCTTTTCTGAACATGAAAGACCTTAACATTCAAATTTTTCAAGTTTGTCTCTCTTGTTTTTATATTAAATAACTTCCTCTAAAGTAACTGAGGAATTATTTTAGAAAGTAAAAAACCCACAAATGGCAAATCAAATACTGAGCTGGCTAAAGTTGACCTGGAATTAGAAATAATGCTTCTGAACATTTGTTGTAAATTGTCACCTATGGGAAACTATGCTAGCTGTAACTACTTTACTAGAGTTTATAAATGCTTTTGGTAGAAAATTTAAAAAGTAGAAGATGTCAGAAATAAAATTCAATTGGCAAAGTTAAATTAATTGAGACGTTACTTATTCAAAATTTATTTATTTATTTATTGAGGGGCTACCCTGTGCCAAACACTGGGAATACAGCAGGGACCAAAAGTGAAGAAAATAACTGCCTTCCAGGAGTTTACATATGAATTTAAACATTCCTGACACGTTTCTTATTCAGAGAAATTAGGGAGAATGCAAAGAAAAAGTAGTTCATTTCTTTCACTTCTAAAAATGGAGCTCTTGCATCTGACATATATGTTTTAGTAGTAATTGAGAGTATATTCGTCTTCAGTCATTGAACAGTATCAATGACAGTCATGTTCTCTGTATCCACTTTAAGACACCTGCAATTCTAAGAAACTCCCTTTCTGTTTGAGATTTCTGTTATGCACTCTCTGTGGGGTTTTTTTTCTAAATGTAGCTGTTTCCATTTCAAAAGAAAAATAGACATTATATTTCTCATACCCTCTCTTCAGAATCCTACTAGAATATCTATGATTTTATACAAAACATAAACCATAAAGATTGGTGGAAAAAATAAACATGATTGATTTTTTTCCTAGTAAGTTAAAATGTCCCACTTAAAACAAGACTTAAGGACATAATAGAGATCATATACTATTGCCTGAGGAAGGAAGCAGGAAAAATAAGATCTATCCTTGTTTCTAACTGGGCTGGAGCCACTCATGTGCACTGATCTTTGCTTACAGCATACCAACCAACTTCTTCCCTCTTGGATTACTAAATAATATCTGGAAAATGAAACTGAGAAAGAGAAATAATTGAGTGAGATGAAAATCTCTTCAGATTGCCCCTACTGACTTTTCAACAAAATACATTTTCAACTAAATATAAGGTAGAAATGACAGAGAACAAAGTGGGAAAACTCATGAAAGAGTAAGCAATGAGAGAAGAGAATAGAATGAAAATGGAAGCAAAATTTATAGGAAATGAGGCTTTTCCAGCTCCGTGGTATTTCAATTTCTGAAAGAAACTGGATGATAAAAGGAAAATAACACTTCTTTGCCCCTTTTTCAAAATGACTATGTTACTACTGGAAAAGAGAGACTAAAGTAACTCATGTCAAAGTTCTGGAGTTTGCTTTCCCTTTTCATTCTAGAAATTCCTATCTGGAAATAGTATCAGTAAGATTATTATCAATGTCAATTTTGTTACCAGTGTCAACCTATACTAATAATTTGTGTTTGGATTTTAGCACATGTAGCAGTACCTATCAGTAAGTTCCTTTTCTTTTCATAAATCTGGTACAAGTTGGGATACCAAAATAAGGAGAAAATTTTTTCTAACTCTGACCAATTCCTTTCAATGCTTGTCTTTATAAATATTTCCTCTCCCTCTTGGCAACTTGCTGGGTAATTAGTTACTAGAAAGAATAAACATTTGACTAAAAGACTAAGTATAAAAGAAATATTTTATTTTCTAAAAACAATTTCAAATAGCTTTTAATAACAAATAAAATTTGCCATACAGCTAAAAGAAAAGATATATGCAGTGGGATACCACAAATGTGAGATACCAACAAAGGATAGAGGAAAAATCAGGAAGATATCTTAGGTGTAAGGAGAGGAAAGAGAATAACTGCAATTAGCATTCAAATTTGCTATTGTTTAAAAGTTCTCTGCAGGATTTAAATCCTCCATACTAGATGAGAAAGAAAAAGAATGGCATAAGCACATATGCTCTAGCCTACTCTGCCTTTCTACTAAATTGAAATATAAGGAAGCCAGTTAAGTCAGATTGAAACTATTCTTGTACCACAAAAGAAATGCTAATCCCTTTTATTTCACTGTGGATGTTTTTACTGGGGGAAGTTTGGTGTCTTCCAAAGATCTCTTTGCTAATACCTTGGAAAAATAAAAGAAGGAAACTATATTTTTGATCCAGAAACTCTGTTAATATATTTTTATTTCATGTTATTCTGCCAGTTACTCCAGTACCTGGCAGGTAAGTTATTATTCATCTATTTATCTTTTCTTTATTCATCTATTTCTTAATTCCAGTGTCTTTTAGAAAATTTTCCCTGAAGTAAAGGGTTTCACATTCACGTTTTCAACCCCCTTTACCTCCCTATTACCTAGTACCTCTTTAAGTACAGATGAATTTAGAAACTATAATATGCTCAATGCCTAGGTAAATCGATAAATAAATGATAGAAAATTAAGGCCCTGAGGTAGTATTTTCCACATAATAAAAAGAAAAATTTAAATATGATAAGCAATGTCAGCAATGTTTTGGTAAAAATTATATATTTATACATCACTGATCCCATTCAAATTTACGTAACCCTTTTAGAAAGCAAACTTGCAGTATTTTGCAAAATACAATGAAATACAGTATCTTTTAAACTCATAATTCCATTTCAAGAGATATGCTCTAAGGAATAATTCTAAATATGTAATAAAACCATGTGCATGATATTAATTTGTAAAAAAATGTGAAGGCAATATATTGCGGTGGTTAATAAAGGAATCAGATGGACCTAGGTTCAGATCTCAACCAGAACACTTAACCAGATATGCGGCTTTGGGTAAAGTATTTAATTTCTCTAAAACTTTAATTTGTGTTATCTCTAGTGTCTTCTCTAAATCTGATATTTTTCATTGTCCTTATTCCATATTACTGGAACAACTGATTTATTTATGTATAAATCAGCGGAAAGCCTAACTAAAACTCTACTGTTAAAAAAAATGATAATTAGAGAAAACAAGTACTGGTGGCAGTTTAAATATTTTACCAACAAATCAAGCCTCAAAGGAAATCTAAAGAGAAAGAGCAACAAAGAGCAGAGAAATCAGGACTCAGCCAAAAGAGAAAGGACATGAAAATTGTGAAAGCTAAGTTCAAATCTCCTACTAGGGCTTCAAAGGGTCTACTTTAGTGTACGTTTCAGTGGATGATTTCCAAGAGAAACACTTTTTCAAAAATTACCAATGAATGTGGACATTTTTCCCCAAATTTCCTAAGAATTGTATATATTTCCCTATCTTTATCTATACCACCTGAAATCAAGACTTAAATTTTTCATGTCCTAGTTAGTAAGGGATGATGACTTCACCAACTTAATTACTCAGAAAGACCATAGTAGTTACTCTTCCAAAGTAATCTTTCCAGAGAGGATCTATTTGTCTGTTTTTTGTTGTTCTTGTAGTTGTAGTATTAAAGTATAGTTGACACACAATGGTTTCTACAGGTATTTCTGGTACACAACAAAGTGACTGGACAACTCTGTACATTATGCTATGCTCACCACAAGTGTAGCTACCATTTGTCACCATACAATACCATTGAATATATTCCCTATGCTGTATATTTTTTTTGATACAGGATTCTGAAGTATCTCTAGTAGTTTAGTCCCTTCTTTGGCAGTCATAAAGAGCTTCGAAGTTGACATAAGCTAATGCAATTACTTTAAGTGTTGTGAGAGAGCTGGGTATTTTTACCAGGTTATATAACATTTGTCCATTCTTACTATAATTAAGAGCACTAGAATTAAGACAAATGAATTTGTTCAAGACCCTAGGTGAGGGTATGACTTTGACTTGGATGAGATTTTCTATATAAACTCATCAGTTGCCTGTCTTTCAGCAGCTCTCCATATTCCCTCTACCTCATATACAAAGGGCAGCCATTTTCATCTAATGACTGTATTTCAACTCTTTTCTAAATGACTGATGAGCAAAGAATGAATCTTTAATTTATTGTAATAACAGTCTTTATAGTCACTATTAGCTCAAAACTCATAAATAATGCTTATCAATAATGATTGTGAGAAATTAATATTTGATACTAACTGGAAACTAAAATCTAGACATTAATAACTCCTAACAACATAACAATAATAGTTTTGCATGCCATCCCCCACCACTCTGTTGCCTGCAGTTTATATAAAGTTGGGGGTATACTGATGCCTCCAGCATCCTTTGCCCTTTGCCCAAGGTTACTGGACAAAACAATGGAGGAGTTAATTTATCCTATTTCTTTGCAGCTTCCTTCTTAGAAGGGAGGATAGTTTCAGGAAGTATTTTCCATTTCTGCTATAAAGAGTATGATTAGTAACAGAATTTTGGTGAGCTTAAATTTTGTGTTAGGTTGATTATAAAGTTTTGTTTTGTTTCGTTTTTTTCCCCAAACCCATCAACACTGTTGCTTGGCAATTCTAGCATCCTTTGGACTCCCACAGGGTTCAGGTTTCATGCTCTCATGGGCTGTAATGACTTCTGTTAATGCAAACTTAAGTGGCATATTTTCCCATCTCTTTGCTCTCAGATTTTTCACATGTCCTAAAATTACAGATTTTAAGTGAGAAATCTATTGATGCAAAGGATAAAGAGGACAGGCATAATATGGACTTTTCATTAAAAAATAGAATTTCCTGAAGTTATAAAGAATTTAGCTCAGATTTAAAAAAAACTAAAATAATAATGTTATAGAGAATAAAGAATAGACCAAAGACATTATGAGGTAAGAGATTGAAATGGGAAGAAAAGCAAAATGAGTGATATCTAAATAATCAATGTGAGTTCCCAAAGAATTTTAAATTCTCATAAAAACTGATAAGAAAAGGAAGAGAGGCTAAACACAACTCCATTTTGCTTACTCTAAAGATAACTACCATGAAAGATTTAGGACTATTGAAGAGGATCAAGAGATTGAAGCTTTTGGGATTTCTCATTTGTTATTATAACTGATCTTCACTCTACCTATTCTCCACCCTTAAAAGATGTGCAAGAACCATCATCTTACATGGGTTACATGTCTTATTTGTGCTACTTCTTAAGCCAGATTTAGAATCCTGATCAAACCCCAGAGATTACCAGAAAGAAAAAGAAACACACACAGAAAAATTGTCATGACAAAACTTTTTAAGTTGATAGTTATAAATAAACTTCCTGTACTGCAAAAAGGAACATGATGAGAGCTGACATGGTGATAGAGTTTTGAAAGGCAGATAGAATGTTGAAATACAGAGAAGAAAATGAAGAAGGAACTTAAGTTACTAAGCTTTAACTGGTAGCCAGTTTCCTGCAAGATTGTGACCCTTGGACATGGTTAAGAATGTTAAAAAAATTATTTAATTAGAAAAAGTAACTTTACTTATATAACCCATCAAACAGGCCTTCCAAAATGGCCTGGATATTTAGGTTATTAAAGTGTAGTTAATATTGAATTAATAAGGTATAGCATATTCATATAAGATTTAATGTTTCCCAAATCCCTTTTCCAATGTTCCAAGTAGATTTTCAATAGGAACTAAGTATATAATTTTTAAAAATAATAATACATTTTATTTTATTTTTTAGTAATTGGTCCAGTAGCAGCTGGTAAGTTCTAATTGCTTCCTCAGTTTCCTGTGGCCCTCTGTTAACATCTGAGTTCCTTTATTTGCACTGATACTTTTGACACCTGGCCACTCTGAACTCTGAGAGTTAGATTATTTTCCATCTCTTCCTTTCCACATTTTCTAGTAATCCTTTAATTTACAAATAGTTTTGGGGTGAGGGGTATATCAAATGTCCACAGAATGGCAAGGATAAAGAAAAAAAGTTGTTCATTTAGTTACAGTATTGAGTTACAGAAGAGAAACGAAGGCAAACAATGTTGATAAAATATGTTGGGGTCAGACCACAGGAAAAACCATGGAAATAACACACTAAGAAATTTATATTTCAATCCAAAGCTCTATGGTCACAAAGCAAAATTCCAAAAGATAAAAGGTGGAAAGCATATAATGAGAAGATATGAGTATAAATGAGAGTATTAGGAGGGACAAACTGCACACGCAAACAAAGAAAACACTAACTTTAAAATAGAGTTGAAGACAAATAAGAAAGGCTGATCTTTGTCCTCTCCTTCATAAAGTTTATTATATCTAAACCTGAACCACCACTGCTGGTCAGTGAAAAAGGGTTAGGAGCAATACTTTGAAAGCCTTTTCTGACTTCTCCTCCTTGAAAGAGTTGATTGAGACTTGCCTTTCATACCATTCAGGCAAACTACAAAAATTTGTGTTTCCATAAAAACAAGCAAACAAAAAACTGTTGTTTTGAATGCACCAATTAGAAAACAAAGATTAACAAAACTCCTAAATAAAACCAAAGAAGAACAAAATAAATAGAAAGATGTTCCATGTTCATGAATAGGAAGAATCAATGTTGTCAAAACATCAATTCTTCCCAAGTTAATCTATAGATTGAGTGCAATGCCATCAAAATCCCAGCAAGATGTTTTTTGATATTGACAAACTGATTCTAAAATTTATATGAAGAAGCCAAAGACCCAGAATAGCCAATACAATATTGAAGGAGAACAAAGTTGGAGGACTGACACTACTCACCCTCATGACTTACCTATAAAGCTACAGTAATCCAGATAGTGTGGTATTGGTAAGCAAATAGACAAATCAGTGGAACAGAATAGACAGCTCAGAAACAGTCCCACATAAATACAGTCAACTGATCTTTGACAAAGGAGCAAAGGCAACACAATGGAACAAAGATATTCTTTTCAACAAATAACGTTAGAACAACTGGACATCCACTTACAAAAAAATAAATCTTCTCCCATATCTTACACTCTTCACAAAAATTAACTCAAAATGGATCACAGACCTAAATATAAAACTCAAAACTATAACACTCTTAGAAGATAACATCAGAGAAAAGCTAAATGACTTTGGGTATGGTAATGACTTTTTAGTATATGTGCTGCCAAAGTGAGCACTGGTAATGACATTTTAGATATAATAGGACATGATTCATGAAAGAAATAATTGATAAGCTGGACTTCACTAAAATTAAGAACTTCTGAAAACAAACAATCTGATTTTAAAATAGGCAGAGGATTTGACTAGATATTTTTCCAAAGAAGACATACAGATGACCAACAGACACATGAAAAGATGCTCAATGCTACTATTTATCAGGGGAACACAAATCAAAACCACAATGAGCTATCACCTCACACTTGTCAGAATGGCTAAAATCAAAAACACAAGAAACAAGTGTTGAAGATGTGGAAAAAAAGGAACCCTGGTGCACTGTTGGTGGGAATGTAAATTGTTTTGCACAGTGGAAAACAGATGGAGGTTTCTCAAATTAAAAAAAGAAATACCATGTGATCCAATAATTTACCCAAAGAAAGCAAAAACATTAATTTGAAAAGATATATGCACCCTTATATCACAGCATTATTTACAAGATATAGGAGCAACCTAAGTGACCATCAATAGAGAAATGAATAAGAAAAATTCTATATTTTATATATATATAATTATATATAAATATATCCCCCTCATTATATTATATATATAATAATATATATATAATAAAGAAAGAAAATTATATATTATATATACCCCTCTCATTTTTATATCAGAATCAGATATCAGGGATCAGAAACACAGTTCTTCTCTGCTCCCACTTCCATAATTCTTCCTTCTAAGGTACCATTCAAGATTCCTTGCAGGATACAGTGCTATATAGTAGGACAGCAGATCCATCAGTATAAGAACCTGGTATTTCTCACTACCTTTATGACTCTCACTGTGATCCAAGTTACTTTTATCTCTCTGATTGCTCTGATTTCACCCTTGCCTTCTAGCCAGTACCAATACAGCAGCCATAGGGATCCTTTTAAGATTCAGGTCACCCCTCTGCTTATGATCCACTAATAACTCTCCATCTTTCTTGATTCAAAGTCAAAGTCATTACAGCACCTCTCAAAAGAAGGTCTTGGAAGATCTGTCCCCTACAACTCTCTAATAGCTTTCCTTCATCTTACTTTTTTTTTTATTTTGTTCCAGCCACACTTGCCATCTTTCTGTTCCTCAGATGGTCTAGAAACATTCCTACCCCAGACTGGTTTACTCATTGTCCTCTCTGCCTGAATTCTCCACTCAGACATCTGCATGGCTGATTCTCTCACCTCTTTCATGCTCTATCTAGTAGTTCTATCAATTGCTGAGAATGGAGTGTTGAATTTAACTATAAATTTTTCTATTTCTCTTTTCAGTTCTATCAGTTTTTTCTCCCATGTATTTTGAAGTTCTTTTGTTTCATGCAACACTTGTTTCTTGTATGTAGCTGTTCTGAAGAAATGCAATGAGCTACAAGAAAACTCAGATAATTCAATAAATTTCGAAATAAAATTAATGAAGAGAATAAGTCTTCTACCTAAGAGATTGAAATTATTTAAAAAAATAAATGCTGGAACTGTAAAAGTCATAAATGAAATGAAGAATGCAATAGAGAGCATAGGTAACAGGGCAGACCAGATGGAGAAAGAATAAATGACGTGGAGAATAGGAATATAGAAATACTTCCAGTCACAAGAGGATAAAGGAGAAGAGAGGGAGAAGGATACAGAGAGTTTATTTAAAGAAATATTAGCTGAGAACTTCCCAAACCTTGAGAAGGAATGCAACATACAAGTCACAGGGAGAAGTCACTGTCATCCCCCAGGTAAGAAAGATAGTGATTTGGCCAAACTTGAGTAGCACAAGAGGTGAGAAGTCCCTCTTCAGAGGTCCTGCAGGGCTCTTTCTGCAAAAGTGTAGTGTTGTGACATGTCTTCTATGTCCCAGAAGACCAAGGTCTGTGGTGGGGCCGGGGGGGACGGTGGTGAGAGTGAAGGAAACCTTCCATTGTAACAAGTAGTGATTTGGGTCCTGTGATTGATGGAGTGGGGGCAGGTTTTAACAGAAATAGCTGTGGGCTCTAGTTTTTAGGGCACATGTAATTCAGCAGAGGACAAACACATATGCAAAAATAATAAACTTAGGAACATGCATAGGGAAGTTCCTGGTGTGGCCCAGAGAGCAAAGAGGTCCCACCTAGGCCACAGTTGTGCTCTTTAGTCAGTTTTCTGTCCCATCAACAGGCCAGGTTAGAGCTATGGATGTCAGAGTGTGGTCCCTGGAACATCAGTATCAGCATCCCTGCCAACTCCTTAGAAATGTGCATTCTTGGGAAGCCTGTGTGGCTCAGTCAAGTTAAGCAATCCAGAGGTGTGGGGGAAAAAAAAGCTAGAGGTATCACACTTGCTGATTTTAAACTATACTATAAAGCTATAATACTAAAAAGAGTATGGTATTGACATGAAAATAGACACATGAACCAATAGAACTGAATGGCAAGGCCAGAATTAAACACCCGCATATACAGTCAACTAATATTCAAGGAGGGAGCCAAAAACATTCAGTGAGAAAGGATAATCTTTTTAAAAAATTGTGCTGGGAAAACAAGATACAAACGTGCAGAACAATAATAATAGTAGGGGATTTTAACACCCCCCTTACAGCAAATCAACAAGGAAACAATAACTTTGAATGACACACTGGAACTAAGATATTTAACAGGTGCATTCAGAAAGTTCCATCCTAAAACAGCAGAATACACATTCTTTTCAACTGCACATGGAATATTCTCCAGAATAGATCACATATTAGTCCATAAAGCAACTGTCAACCAATTCAAAAAGGTCAAAATCATACCATGAAATCTTTTCTGACCACATGGCTAAGAAACTAGAACTCCACCATAAGAAAAAAATAGGGAAAGACCACAAATATGTAGAGGTTAAATAATATGCTACTAAGCAATGAATGGGTCAGCCAGAAAATAAAAGAAAAAAAATTAAAAATACATGGAAACAAATGAAAGTGAAAATACAATGTTCAAAACCTTTGAGATGCAGGAAAAGTGGTTCTAAGAAGGAAGTTTATAGCAATACAGGCCTATCTCAAGAAGCAAGAAAATTCTCAACTAAAAAACCTAACCTTACACCTAAAGGAACTAGAAAAAGAACAACAAACAAAACCCAAAACCAGCAGAAGGAAGAAAATAATAAAGATTACAGCATAAATAAATTCTATAGAAACTAAAAAAAGACCCATGAAACCAGGAGCTGGTTCTTTGACAAAATCACTAAAATGGATAAACTTCTAGCCAAACTTATCAACAAAAAAAGAGAAAAGACCAAAATAAATAAAATTACAAATAAGAGAGAAAAAATAACAACCAATACCATAGAAATACAATCATAAGAGAATATTATGAAAAACTATATGCCAACAAATTGGACAACCTAGAAAAATGAATAAATTCCTACAAACATAACCTATCAAAACAGAAACAGGAAGAAATAGAATATTTGAACAGACTGATAACCAGTAAAGAAAATGAATCAGTAATCAAAAAACTAGCAACAAATGAAAGACCAGATGGCTTCGCAGGAAAATTTTAACAAACATTTAAAGAAGAGTTAATACCTTTAATTCTCAAGCTATTCCAAAAAATAGAAAAGGAAGAAAAACTTCCACATTCATTCCATGAGGCCACCATTGCCCTGATACCAAAACCAGATAAAGACACTATGAAAGGGGCACCTGGGTGGCTCATTCAGTTAAGTATCTGCCTTTGGCTCAGGTCATGATCTCGGGGTCCTGAGACAGAGCCCCGTGTCAGGCTCTCTGCTCAGCAGGGAGTCTGCTTCTCCCTTTCCCTTTCCCTCTCCCTCTCTGATCTCTCTCGTTCTCACTCTGTCTCAAATTAAAAAAAAAAAAGGCACCAAAAAAAAAAAGAGAGAGAGAACTTACAGGCTAATATCTCTGATGAACATAGATGCAAAAGTCCTCAATAAAATACTAGCAAACCAAATCCAACAATACATTAAAAAAATTATTCACCATGATCAAGTGGGATTTATTCCTGGGTTGCAAGGGTGGTTCAGTATTTGCAAATAAGTCAGAGTGATACATCACATCAGTGAGATAAAGCATAAGAATGATCATTTCAATAGATGGAGAAAAAGCATCTGATGAAGTACAACATCCATTCATGATTAAAAACCCTCAGCAAAGTAGGTTTAGAGGGAACATTCCTCAACATAATAACTCAACATAATAAACTCAACATAATAAAGGCCATATGTGAAAAACTCACAGCTAACATCATCCTCAATGGGGAAAACCTGGGAGCTTTTCCCTTAAGGTCAGGAACAAGGCAACAATGTCTACTCTCACCACTTTTATTCAACATAGCACTGGAAGGGGCGCCTGGGTGGCTCAGATGGTTAAGCGTCTGCCTTCGGCTTGGGTCATGATCCCAGGGTCCTGGGATCGAGCCCTGCATCAGGCTTCCTGATGAGCAGGGAGCCTGCTTCTCCCTCTCCCTCTGCCTGCCATTCCCCCTTCCTGTACTCTCTCTGTCAAAATAAATAAAATCTTTAAAAAAAACAAACAAACATAGTACTGGAAGTCCTAGCCACAGCAATCAGAAAACAAAAAGGAATAAAAGACATCCAAACTGGTAAAGAAGAAGTAACACTTTCACTATTTGCAGATGACATGACAGTATATATGGAAAACCCAAGGACTCCATGAAAAAATTGCTAGAACTGATAAAAGAATTCAGTAAGGTCACAATATACAAAATCAATATGCCAAAATCTGTTTTATTTCTGTAGATCAATAATGAAGCAGCAGGAGAAACTAAGAAAACAATCTCATTTACAATTGTACCCAAAATAATAAGATACCTAGGAATAAACCTAACCAAAGAGGTAAAAGACCTGTACTCTGAAAACTATAAAACACTGATGAAAGAAATTGAAGATGACAGAAATGGAAAGACATTCCATGCTTATGGATTGGAAGAAAAAATATTGTTAAAATGTCTATACTACCCAAAGCAATCTACACATTTAATGCAATTCTTATCAAAATAACAACAGCATTTTTCACAGAACTAGAACACACAATCCAAAAATTTGTATGGAACCATAAAAGACCTTGAATAGCCAAAACAATCTTGAAGAAGAAAAGTAAATCTGGAGGCATCACGATTCTGGATTTTAAGTTATATTACAAAGCTCCAGTAATCAAAACAGTATGGTACTGGCCAAAAATAGACACATAGATCAATGGAACAGAATAGAAAACCCAGAAATAATAATATAATAATACTGTCAATTCAACTTTGACAAAGCAAAAGGAATATCCAGTAGAATAAAGACAGTCTCTTCAACAAATGGTGTTGGGAAAACTGGACATTTACATGCAAAAGAATGAAATTGGACCACTTTCTTACAGCACACACAAAAATAAATTCAAAATAGTTTGAAGTCCTAAATGTAAGACCTGAAACCATAAAAATCGTAGAAGTGAACACAGACAATAACTTTTTTGACATCAGCTATAGCAACATTTTTCTAGATATGTCTCCTGAGGCAAGGGAAACAAAAGCAAACAAACTATTGGGACTACATCAAAATAAAAATCTTCTGCACAGCAAAGGAAACAATCAACAAAACTAAAAGGCAACCTATGGAATGGCAGAAGATATTTGCAAATGACATATCTGATAAAGGGTTAGTATCAAAAATATATAAAAAAAACTTATAAAACTCAACAACCAAAAAACAAATAATCCAATTAAAAATGGGCAGAAGACATGAAAAGACATTTTTCCAAAGAAGACATACAGATGGTCAACAGACACGTGAAAAGTTCTTCATCATTAATCATCATCAGGGAAATGCAAATCAAAACTGTGAGATATCACCTCACACCTGTCAGAATGGCTAAAATCAAAAAGAGAAGAAATAGCAGGTATTGGTGAGACTGGAGAAAAAGGAGCACTGGTGCACTGTTGCTGGGAATGCAAACTCCTGCAATCACTGTGGAAAACAGTATGGAGATTCCTCAAAAAGTGAAAAATAGAAACTACCTTATGATCCAGCTATTACATTACTGGGTATTTACCCAAAGGATACTAAAATACTAATTCAAATGGATATGTGCACCCCTATGTTTATAGCAGCATTATTTACAATAGCCAAATTATGGAAGCAGCCCACATGTCCATCGACTGATGAATGGATAAAGAAGTGGTGTGTATATACATATATATATATATATGGAATCTAAAAAACAAAACAAAAGAGGAAAAGGGGGAAAAGGAGAGAAAAGAGAGACAAACCAAGAAACAGACTTAATTATAGAGAACAAACTGATGGTGGTGGGTGGGAGGGTGGGTAAAATAGGTGATGGGGATTAAGGAGTGCCCTTGCTGTCATGAGCACAAGGTGTTGTATGGAAGTATTGGATCAGTATATTGTACACCAGGAACTAATATAACTCTGTATTTTAACCAACTGGAATTAAAATAAAACCTTAAAAAACACGAAGAACAATAAAATTACACCTCTACCTCACACAGCTCACAAAAATTAACTTGAAATGGATCATAGATTTAAACATAAAACCTGATACCATAAAAATCTTAGAAGAAAATGTAGAGAAGAAGCTCCTCAATGCTGGTCTTGGCATTGATTTTCTGGACATGACACCAAAAGCACAAATAACAAAAACAAAAATCAACAGGTTGGACTACATCAAATTTAAAGGCTTTCTGCACATCAACAGAAACAATTAACAAAGGGAAAAGACAACCCATGGAATGGGAAAAACTTTTTGCAAACCATATATTAGACAATGAGTTAATATCCAAAATATATAAAGAACTCATACAATTCCATAACAAAAAAGAATCTGATTACAAATTTGGCAGAGGAACTGAATAGATATTTTTCCAAAGAAGACATCCAAGTGCTCAACAGGTACATGAAAAGTGGTCAACATCACTAATCATCAAGAGAAATGCAATCAAAACCACAATGAGATATCCCCTCATACCTGCTAGAATGGCTATGATCAAGAACACAAAATGTAAGTGTTGGCAAGGATATGGAGGAAAGGGAACCCCTGTACACTGTTAGTGGGAATGTAAATTGGCTCAACCACTATGGAAAACAACGGTGAGGTTCATCAAATATTAAAAATAGACCTACCATATGATGCAGCAATTCCATTCTGGGTATATATCCAAAGAAAATGAAAACAGGATATCAAAAAGTACATATACGTTCATGTTTATTGCAACATTATTCACAACAGCCAAGGTACGGAAACAAACTAATTGCCCATACCAGTGGATGAATGGATAAAGAGGATGTCACACACACACACACACACACAAACACACAGGATATATTTTTCAACAGAAAGGAGGACATCGTGCCATTTGCAAAAACACGAGCATACCATGCTGAATGAGTAAGTCTGACAGAGGAAGACAAGTACTGTATGGTATCATTTATATGTGGAATCTGGGAAGCCAAATTTATTTTAAAAAGAAAGTAAAATGGGGGTTACTAGGGAATTGTGGGTGGGGGGATAGGACAGGTGCTATTCAAAGGTACAAATTTACAAGTAGTAAATAAGTCCTAGAGATCTAATGCATAGTATAGTGAATATAGACAACAATATTGTATGACAGTCACCAAACTTGCCAAGAGACTAGAACTTCATGATTACAACCACAGGAAAGGATCATTATGTAATGTCATAGAGGTTCTAATTATTGCTACAATGGCAATCATATTATAATATACTAATGTACCAAATTGACATGTTGAACACCTTGAATTTGTACAATATGTAAATATATTTAATAAAAATATTTTCATAAAATAGCTAATCACAAGATCTTTCTAAACAATAACAGGCCAAGAGGAAGGGGAGGGATAAGGAAGGTTCCCTACATCTAAATAAAAGGAACTTAGTTGTTCATGACACAGATTCTGCCCATCCAGTGCAGAGGAGTGTGGCTTTGTGTAAGAAGGGAACGCCCAACACCTACTGATGTTTTTTTCTTATCTCTTTCAGTGGACAGCTCTGGAAAAATCAGTAAGTTTGGATCATTTCTTTGCCTTACCTATTTCTGTGTCTAGGACCTTTGAGTTTTTGTTACCCAATTTTTTTGTATTTCATGTTCTTCTACCTTAGAGTAGTCAATATTTCTTAAATAAGTTATTTTCTCATACTTTGATTTCTTCTTTTCTATTTCCCTTTTGGAACAAAATATAATGGTCTTGTCTCATAATTCTGGTGATTTTCTACCAAAGATTATTGGTAGCATGGATTCCCAGCTAGTTTATCACAAGGGAGGCTGTTTTCCTTGTGCTATCATCTGACAATGGATAATTTTTACTAAAAAAAGAAAATCACCTAAAATTGACAAAAAGAGTAAGTGTCAGGACAAGATGGTGATTTTGATAATTGGCCAACATTACGTATTTTTCCAACTGATCTAAAGGGGAGTGGGTAAAAAACTGACTTATGAGAGAACAATGAAAGTAGGAAATGCAATAGTTTGAAATTTAGTAGAATAGATATTACCTACCCAAGGATTCTATCATACATTAACAATGGCATCCTAAAGAAACCTGTCTCTGTGAAGTAGGATGTAAAGCGTTGGCCAGCAGCACTCCTGAGGATGAAACAGAGGGTTTTATAGCACTTGGAGATGCTGCTTCTGCATTCACCTACAAAGGGTATTATTATTGGGAGTGGGATTTTCCTTGAGTTAGAAAATTCCCACTGATCGATCTTTTGTGTTTTATTTTTAGCACTATCTCCTATGGGTAAGTTATTCTCAACTGTGATATTTTACATTGTTTATATTTTCTGGATTTGCTGTTTCTACTCCCAAAATAGAGACTTGTGTTTCTAAGGACATTTTCAATGTTCCTATTCTCCAGAATCTTTTAATATTTTAAATAACTCTTTTGGAGAGACAGCTGTAGAGGAGATGAAGTTCACACAAAAGGATGCCATAATCTCTGGCCATCTTCTAGGGTCTGAAAAAGAATCTCCTTTCTAACTCCCAGCAAACTATAATGAAAGAAAGATTGGTTTCTAAATTTTGTGAGTTTTTTGCTGCTAATTTAGAACTCTTTTTGTGGTTATAAGTGAAGGTCCACTGAATCATATTACCAGAAAAAATAACTAGTTAAGAAAAAAACTTTATTTTCTCTTGCCTTCTAAGTAACTTTACTTTTGAGGAATAGTAGGTATTGAGCCCTTCTATATACTGTGCACTGTGCTAGGCATTTTCAAAAACATTATCTCTTATTCTTAGCCTGTCTGCTAGCTATTGTTATTCCCCACTTTACAGATCAGTAAATTTGCTCACACTTGCCCAGGTTAAAGAGTTCATAAACAGCACTGTCAGGATCTAAATCCAGGACTTCCTGTCTTGGAAGTACATACTCTTTCCACGCCAACACATTGCCTTCTCTACTGAACCACAGAGGCCTTTTTTGTGATTAGTCCTGAAACCATATCTATAAATAAAATGTTTGTCAATACAAATATACATCCACTAGAGAAGATATATAATTAAATGTACACAAAAGAATAGTTTTAAAAATAAAAGACATCCTATTTAGATTAATGTTTGGCTTTTAACTGTTTTCTAAATTCAGATTTCCCATCAGGATTATTTAATGCCTCAGCTCTTCAAGAAAATCATATGAAACAGAATAATAATTCTTAAAACTCTGTAAATATACAACCATAAGAAGCAAGTAAAACTTAAATTTAGTAAGATATATTTCAAGCATCTTGAACTTTCCAAACACTAACAAACACAAAATGTATCTTTATATTTAATTGTTCTTCTTTCTCAGATCACACTAGGAGAGTGGGTTTGTGAGTGGGAGGAGGGGAAGTTGAAAGGGATAATTGTTTTCTTTGCATTCACAGTACAAAAAATAATATACATTCAGAGCAGTCGTGATGTATCTGCCTCTCTCAAACGACCTCCCCACATGGGGAAGGTGATAAGAGTGTGTATGTTTTCTTTACAAAAAGAAAGAGGGCTTTGGGAAGGCATCATAGGCTAAGGCCCTCCCTGGAAGTGAATTCATTTTCAATGACTATGGTTTTTTTAAATTGCCAGGAAAAAAATCAGTTCAACCTTTTAAAACCTTTTCTTGTAAAAGATATATTCTTGTTGACAATATTTCAAACATATTCTTCCCAGTTGATATTTTTAGCAAAAAGAGATTAAGGTTTAATTCATTGTTCAAAGAAAGATATAAGACAGATCAGCTCATCAAACTTCATAACCCTTTCAAGTTAAGTCTCTTAATTTCTCATCTCCACGTATGATTTTTTAAAAAACGTTAAATCAGGGACTGAGATCTACAATGAGTCATCCCTCTAATGCTTAACAGATCTTTATGGTCTAGATCTGAGTGTGCTCTCCCTGACAGCCACTGGGTTAAGAACTTCATAGGAATCATTTTCTAATAAGGCCCATAGTCTAGTTATTTTAAGTATCATATAATTAGAATTATTACTCTGATAGCTAACTCATGATATCTTTTAGCTTTAACAAAAATTAATCCAGCTTAAAATCTTTAAGTAGCCTGAATACATTATAATGATTGCCAAGGTCTTGATTAAATATTTCCCTTATAATTAGAATTTTGCCATATAGCCTACTGTGTGCAATAAATGGACTTTCAGCCAGGGCTTACAAATCTTTATATTATAGAGATTATGAGATCCCAGGGGGAAAAAAGATTTATACACTATCTGGAAATTTGAGAGAAGGGAAGGAAGAACTTAGGATTTGGTGGGATAATGATTTGTAGCTTACTTCTACAATGCAATTACGTTCAAGATGGAAAATATACAGCAAAGATACTAAAACAACCAAGGATATGAAGATACTATTAGAAGTGACTAGAAGTATTTTTTAGTTTGGTGGGAAAAAGAATAAAAGTCTTTAAAATCCTATAAAATGAGGAAAAGTGTAGCTAAAATAAACATTGTTTCTCTAAATCCTAGAATACTTACCTTTGATTAACAAAATCTATATAATTTAGGAGGTAAAGTTAGCTTAAAAATGGGTCCTGCAGTAGTATACACAGTAGTAAATATGAAAAAAGTTATTCCCAAGAGATGGTAAAACTAAAAATATTCATATATTATGAAAAGTCAGCTTGTTAAGGAGCACATTCCACCAAATTTGTAAGGTTGGAAGCTTCAGTGGAAAAACATGCTCTTCTCCACACCACACCACATCCTCCCAGAAAACAAGTGTCCACTGGTAGTACTGTCAGATTTCAAAATATTCTGAACTCTCTTTTTAAGTACAAAAATGCTTAGGATATATTACTACTGATTTTCATTAGTAAACTGGAAGTGGGTTTATCTAGAATAAAATGTCTTATTAAATAATCATTAGGGAGGAAAAAATACACAAAAGGTTCAGAAAGCATTATTGTAAGGTTCTTAATGTTATTTTTAAGATACCTACAGCATCTCTTTTGATTCATAGTTACCTTCTTACCTAATGCAGGTGTGTCTCACCTTTTGCAACTTGTAATTCAGTTATGTGTGCATCAATATTTCAGACATCAAACCCTAAACATACCAAAAGGCTATTTCTATGAAAAAAAATGTTAATTTTTAAGCAAGCAATCTTCCTGTAAAGCAATTAACCATTCCTCTAAAGAATTGGATTGGAACTAAGAATGTCTTTTCTTGACAGATCAGAAAAATTTTGCCTGTATGATCTCATTTAGTAGTAGTAATAGCCAATATTTATTGGACTACTTACTATGCTCCATGTACTGCATTAAGTGCTTTACTTAGATAATATTATTTAATTCTCATAACACCTCTGTGAAGTAGCTACTACTATTGCACCCATTTTACAGATAACAAAGTACGGTTTGCTAAGTAAGCTCACCTGGCTAGTTAGGTATGAAGAAAGGATTTGAACCAGTCTGTCTGTATAAGCGATGGTCCTTAACATTTGTCTAGAATCCTTAAATAATTCTACAAAGTCGGCAGAGCAAACCAAATATAAGGAAGGTGAGTCTTTGGGATTTACCCAAATAAACTCAGCTAGCAAGAATACTAAACCCAAGTGTTCTGATTCAGCTTTTAAATTCAGTATTCTTTCTACTACATTAAATATTTAAATAGGTTTTCTTAAAGGAAGGCATGCTACTGCTCATAGCAAGAACCCACAGAATTCTTCCTGGTAACATTTTTTTCTTAATCAGGGAACCAAATCACTAAAATAAGAAAAAAGAAAGCAGAAGCTAAAAATTTCAGTTTTGGGGCACCTGGGTGGCTCAGTCGTTAAGTGTCTGTCTTCAGCTCAGGTCATGATCCCAGGGTCCTAGTATCAAGCCCCACATCAGGGTCCCTGCTCAGTGGGAAGCCTGCTTCTCCCTCTCCCACTCCCCCTGTTTGTGTTCCTTCTCTTGCTGTCTCTCTCTCTCTCTGTCAAATAAATAAAATCTTTAAAAAAAATAAAATTAAATTAAAATTAATATTAAAAATTCAGGTTTTATTAGATCACACAGAAATTGAGACATAGTAAAGCTGACTTACCTAAACATGGAAAAAGGGACCAGAAATTTTTGCAAAGTGAGTTTGCAGGTATCATAAGGAGCAATCTAAGGCACTGGTTAAGAATGAACTCTGAAGTCTGACTTTTCAGGTTCAAATCCCAGCTCCATCACTTACTGACTCCAAGGCATATTCACATTCATTTAAACTTTCTGTACCTCAGTTTCTTCATCTGTAAAATGGGGATAATAATAGTACCTGCCCTATATGGTTGTTATGAGGATTAAATGAGTTAATACTTTACATAAAATGCTCAGAACAGTGAGTGCCTGATATATGATAAGCACCCAATGATTACCAGCTAGTACTATTATTACTTTTGAATAATGAGACATTCTTATATTCAATATCCAAAGCATATTTTGAGTTTTTTCCATTTTAAGAAACAATTATTGCTTTTTTGCACAATTTTTTTCTAAAAATAAATTCCAATTCTTTTCAGAATACATCCTCCTTTAGCTATTAAGCATTAATCATCAGCCATAATGTACTGAATGTATGCCAGCCAGTTCATTTGTAATACATTTTACCTCTTCTTTCAATAATCTTCCAATTTATTGAAGAGAGTCTGGAATATTATCAATACTCATATAATTTTAAATGTAGAGTTCCATCATTTTATATTTTCAGGAAATCTCAAGTTATCTCCAGTTTTTCAGTTTTAAGACAAAAAATAAACCAATATCAGGGGAAAAAGTAGGAATAAAGAGAAAGTACTTGATATCTAAACTGTGCACTTTTGTTGTGTGCTCAGTTATATTTCCAGGTTACATGGATGCAGAACTTGCAAAAAAAACAGATTTCAAGGCCAAGATTCTAAAAAATGGAGCCACTATAAAGTCTGAGAGCAGCCAAGAAGAAAACAAGAAAACATTAAAGAAAGAAATCATAGATTCTGATGAATCCTTGACATCAAGGCAACCAGAGTCAAAAAGCAAAGCAAAAAGCACTGAGTTGGAGAAAGGCAGGATAGGAATGGAGGTCAAGGAAACGGAGAGTGACACCAGGATACTAAAAGAGGAAGACCAAGTAAAGGTGAGTGACTTGGGAATACCACAAGAACAGGAGGCCCAAGTAGAGATGAATGATACTGGAATACCACAAGAACAGGAGGACCAAGTAAAGAAGACTGAGTCCGGAATACCACAGGGACAGGGATCCCAAGTAAAGAAGAGTGAGTCTGGAATAAGACAAGGACAGGGATCTCAAGTAAAGAAGAGTGAGTCTGGAATAAAACAAGGACAGGGATCTCAAGTAAAGAAGAGTGAGTCTGGAATAAAACAAGGACAGGGATCTCAAGTAAAGAAGAGTGAGTCTGGAATAAGACAAGGACAGGGATCTCAAGTAAAGAGTGACACCAGAATACCAGAAGGACAGGAGTCCCAGGTAGAGAATAGTGAAGCTGGAATACCACAAAGACAGGAGTCCCAGGTGGAGAATAGTGAAGCTGGAATACCCCAAGGACAGAAGTCCCCAGTAGACAATAGTGAGTCTGAATTACCACAAGTTCAAGGGACTCGAGTAAAGAGAGAGAGTTCTGAGGATCAAGGAAAGCAGGGAGATGCAAGGAAGAAGACAGATACAGAAGAAAATGATGCTATGAAGAAAAGTGATGAAGGAAAGCACGAAGTTAAAGGAAAGAAAAAATCAGAACTTAAGAGTAAAAAAAAAAGTTCAGTAAGGAGCAAAGACAAGTAAGGGAAGAAAGTACAACAAAAAGATGGAAAGAGTAAGGGCAAATAAAATGCAAGCTCATAAGTCAACTGATTATTATGATTCCCATCCTCCAGTTACAAGTCACAACACAGTTATTGCTTAAATGGATCATAATTATAGAATCCCTTTTAATCTATACATCTACAGAATGTCTACTATAAATGTTTCACCATTTTTAGTCCTCTCAGCCACAAATCTCAGCTTCCAATTCTTTGTTTTCTAAGTTGATACTTTTATGCCTTAGTGAAGAAACTGGATACTTTCTGAAATAAAACATTTTGACTAAAGAAATGTATAATTTCCTTCTACAACTGTTAACTCAGTGACCCAACCAATCAATCAATCAAAGCTCCTCATGGTAGGCTAAATGTTCATAAGGCACTGTTCTAGCAATAAGGGGTACAGAAAAATATATCTGACTCCCTGCAATAAAATAGCTTTTAACACATATAGTGATATGTGTACACAGAACAATTTTTTAAAAGAAAAACCTGTCAAAATGTAGTTTAGATGGATGGTATGAGTTAGCAACCTCTTGGGATGAGAATATAAAGGGGATAGCTTCCTGGGGAAGGGAATGGTAGTATATGTGTCTCAAAAGATGGATAAGATTGATACACTGAGCAAGGTAGCAAGAGTACAAAAAAGCAAAGGAATTCAAGACTGCCACACCATGCTCTAGGAGAAGTAAGCAATTTTACTGTTGCAGTAGGCTCATGAGTGCACTCTGGAGTATAATTTTGAAAAGGAGGGTTAGAAGAAGATTCTGAAGGAATATGAAAAACAAACCAGGAATTTATATTTTATTCAGGCAACTGGGAAGTCTTCTAGGGTATTTGGGAAGGAGAGTTAGGTGCATAAGTTTGCAGTACCAAAGTGTTAATCTTTTGATTGTACAAAATAGACTGAAGAGAAACATCATAAGTAGTAAATCTAGTGAAGAGGTGTTGGAGTTGGAGTATAAGTGATGGAAAGAGAATAAATAGAAGGGATAGATATAAAGTATTTTTTCAAAGAAAAATCACTACTTCATGATGACTACATATGAGTAAGGAAAAGAAAAAAAATTGATGACTCCATAACTTTTGAAACTGGGTGACAGAAAATCATAACCAACTGGGAGTTTGTGGGACAGGGAGGGAATAACAAATTGCTGAGTTCAAGGAAACAAACTAACACTTGTCATTCGAAAGGGGTCTGAAGTAGAGATAATTGAAGATGTAAAGTAAATGATTTCCCCAAAGAACAAAGTACAGACCTAGCAAAGGCACAGGCCTAAGAACTGAGCCTGTTAGATGTAATAGGTCAAAGAAAAAAATTAAGGTGTGGGAAGATGTAAGGAAAACCTGTACAACAAATGTTCTGATAAGGAAGATGAGAATTTAAAGAAAGGATGGCTAAAGGAGTACATTCCACAGAATGTAAGTCAAAACATTTTCATTCCCACTAGGTCCTGCAGGCAAATAAGTCATACAGTAGGAAACTACAACTATGAAAACCATGTGTGCCATTCTCTAAAGGCCACCAAAAAGCAGGCAAGTTAAAAACAATTGCTAATCTTCCCTTAAAGGTACAGGCATGGAAGTTTTAAAGGACCCCAGAAAAAGAAGGGGGAAGGCGTGAGCTATCAAAATAACACCATGTTTAGCAAAATGATGCAAATACTAGGAAAATAAATAAGTACATGAAATTTCAAGATAATTTAGATATAAAGATAGTAAAGTGGGACTTTAAAAATCAACAGTAGTAAATTTTGTTTCACAAATAAGCTAATGCATATGTCAAATGCCCTGTTCACAATGCCCAGTTTATATGGAAAGAGCCAAGATGTCCATCAACAGATGAATGTATAAAGAAGATGTGGTATATATATATACAATGGAATATTATGAAGCCATCAAAAGGAATAAACTCTTGCCATTTGCAATGATGTGGTTGGAACTGGAGGGTATTATGCTGAGCGAAATAAGTCAATTAGAGAAAGACATGTATCATATGA